TTACCGGTCAGTAAAAAAGACAAAAAGGAAAAAAAAAAAAAAATATATATATATATATATAAAACTTTAACCCTGACATTTGAGATCATTTCTTTCCCTTTAATGAAGCTCACAGTGCAAATAACTGGAATATGATATGATTTTTATTTCAAATTGCAATGCACTTAGGCACACTTATTCTTTGACACTTTCCAAAGAACAGACTGTGAATTCTGGGAACAGTAGGTAGATGCTTGTTGATTCTTGATCTCCACTTAAATTTTCAACATTTGGTGTATTTTAGATGGCAGGAAACCAGGGACAAGTCTAATAAACTGGCCCTAAATTAGTTTTTTTATTTGAAAGAAGTTACTTTTACACCATCTGATTTTGTTGTCAAATTAATAAATGGCAGCTCATCACAAACAGCTTTATATGATGATTAACTCTTTATGTGAAGAGTCTCAGCTTCACAAGTGATTATTTAGTTATTTTATTAGTGTTCCAGATTCAAAAGAAAATTATGCATTATATTTTGTGTGGAGACCAAGTCAGTAGGGTCAGTTCTTATCCTGTTTTATCATTTCCCCAGTGCCACAAATAACTTCAAAAGAAAAGTACACCGAGCTAGTTAGGAATTAAGCACCACATTTTCATCAATAAAGAAGAACATTTGTTTGTTAACCAGTTACTAGGCAGAAAAAATAATAAGTAATTAAGAATTCGAAAGGTAACACTACCTTGAAAACGAAGTGCCAAAAATCTTTCCCATAAACTCTACCCCACTTACAGAATTAGAGGTAACAAAAAATTGGAATAATCTAAACACTTCCAGATACATTTTAAAGCTATAACAGATTATTTTACACATAAAGCTAAAACAGATTGTTTTATATATATGTAGATTATCTGACAGCTCAATGAATAAATGAATGAATGGGTGAACTGTTGAACATCAGGGAATGTGATTACTTATGTTCACATTATGGGCCAGGCTTACATCCACTTCTTGCTCATCCCCTACCTCACTATCCCTTGCTCTGCTCTGCATCTCAGGAAATCACACTTCTTAGGACCCTTGCCATCTGGCTTCCAGGTAGGACTGAAGTGGTAAGGTACTGATGGAAGACTCTAGAGTAGGAGAGGCAAGGCCTTGTCTCCATCTCAGGCAGTGGCTTTATCCTTCCCATGGCTCCATTTTCCACAATTCTTGGGTGGTCTTGGCTCCCACCAAGCAGTGCCCACCATGGTTCCACCTCCTGTGGATGATCCCAGCTTCTGGACTCAGGAAACCACACCTCTTCCCATTATCCTCATAGCCTGAGGTGTGGTTTCCAGCTATCTGGCTTCTTTTCTATCATCTACATAAGTCAATTTCCTGTATTAAATTCCCTCTACTGAAACACTTAGAATGGTTTCTGTTTTTCAGACTGGATCCTGATTGATACATATTAGAATCATTAAACTTTTTTCTCCTCTAACTTATCTGGGAATTTTTTCATGAGAATCTGCCCTAAGCCAATGAAAAAGCATTCAAACCACATGCAATACCCACTTTCTGCAATACAGGACAACAAATACCCTTGGTTGTTTTCTGTCAAGCACTGGGATTCTCTTTGCCAAGTGCAAATATGACTCTGACTTTACCAACGTCACCATTGATTACAGTAGACACAGACAAAGGTCTTCTGCAGAGGTCATTTTTGTTGCATGTACTAAGTGTGATAACTAGGTGAAAAAAATACAAACAAAATTAATCTTAAGAGGAAATTACAAAGTCATGAATAACAAGGTAAAAAAGGTCTCTGAAAATTCAGAGAACATAAGACAGCACCAGAAAGTTTCTTCCCTGTTGAATTAATACATTTCCCTGAAATCAAAATCCTATAGAATTCCCGGATATTTCAAGAGCGTAAAAAAAAACAACAAAAAAAATCTGATTTATCAATGAATGATGCATAGCTTCTCAGCTTGAATGCACCCCTGGGATGGTTACTGACAGAAGTAGAGTTCTTTGGTGAGCATGGAGACCACACATGGGATCTGCTTCTTCTTGTTGAAGAGTGGATCATCGGACTGAGATTCAAAGTGGCTGGCCACCAGGTTGTTCACCCTGGTGAGGATCTGCATGATCTCTAGATCTTTCCCGTGCTCGTCCAGGACGGTACAGAGGGCCTGCACAAACCAAGAGCCTCTTCCTGGACTCCTCCATGAGTAATAGCCTTCAACAGGAGAGAAAGGAGAAGATGCGATCAGCTATTCTAGTATGCTCCACTTACCGATTAGAATGGGCTTTCAGTGTCTGGGGCCCTCACACCTGCTTTTTGGAAATTATTTCACTCTGCTCTGCATACAAGGCACACTAATGAGAATTACACAGCTGTGCTCAGAGAGCAAACATTTTAGATTAAGAGGGTTGCATGATGATGCTCCAAAATGTTTTGGGTATTCCAGCACGGAAATCCAATAGCAGACAACATCATTAAGGGCCAGTGTTGGTGAATGTGGCCAGGAAACTCTCCTGCATCAGTGTAGATGGAGGTATCCACACGATACACATCAGATACCTAAGTGAGTGTGAGATAAGACTGCACATGGAGATTTCCAAAGGAAAGACTGAGGGACCCCTCCATCACTCTGGAACTCCTCACCACCTTTTTGGGATAAGTGCTATTTTCTAATCCAAGCCTAGAGAAGGGATCTGAGGGAACCTCTGAGAATTTTGAGATGTGTTCTTTCTGTTGGGGACACAGAACTAGAGCTGGACCCTGCTGATAAAATCTAGAGGCAAGAGGTGGCTGAATGACCAACTGCCTTACGGGCAGAGCCAGGAGAGGTTGCTGCCCTGGAAAGGCTGCCACTGTCAGGGCACGGGATGTGTTTCTCATCGACCAGATGTGGTCTTTGGGAGAGAAAGCTGGCTCTTGGGTTGTCCTGGGTCCTTGTGATGGAACTACACAGCAGAAGTTGCTGCTGAGGCATTGGAAGTAAAACACCGTGCCACACAGCCCAAGCTCCCTGCTTTCCTGCCACTTCCTTTGAAGGGACCATTCAGACATTTGCCTGCAAACTTAAAGTGACCCATACCCTATTCCCTTATGTGCACCGCTAGTGGCCCTGCTCTCTCTCTCTGCCTGACTCTTCGTTCCTGCCTTGTGTGACCTGGGGATGCAGGACTGACCTCGAGACTCATTGCGCCCTCCCTGCCCAGGATCTGTAAGTAAAAGTCTTTCCTGTTGTGGTGGTGTACAGAATTTGCACCTTCTACCTGAAGAATGAGGGGCTGCTCCAGGCCGGGTTTTACTCAGGACACTGGGGAGAACACAATGTTGGTCTCTCAGTGCCAGTGCAATGATCAGGCAGGTATAAACGGGACAAAGGTCAGACAAGAGCCATCATGATGTCTGTCAATATAAATAAGTTTCCCAGGTGAGGAAGCCCCTGGTTACAGGTGAGACAACTAGGCATTAGGCTGTCTGTCAGGTAAAAGAAGTATCCTGTGAATGGCATGCTGTAAGCTCCCTGTCACTTCCTGTTAGGGCAGGGTTGCCAGCTGCTCTGGTACTGGAACCCGAGTTTACCTGGGGGCTCTCAGAACTGTCCTGTCCAAAGGTCTTCTTGAAGGGGCAAGGTGACCTCAGCAGAAAGAGGATGCACAAGTACCCTGGAGGATGCCCAGGAGCTGAGGAAGGAATCAAATGCCTCACAAGGAATAGAGACACAAATCCAAGGGCCAAGGAGGGAACCCAGGAGCTCACAAAAGCACTGGCTTTAATCATCTGACCCGTCCACAGCATGAGAGGTCAGATGGCCAGGACTCATGTCTTGCCCCTTACCTCGCCTCTCTCCTTCCCTGGATCCTTCCCATCTTGACCCTGGGAGAATCTAAAAAGGGATCTGGCAAGTGGTAGAGGAGGTGAGACAGGTGAAGGAGCAAAGCTCTTAGCACCTTGGCCTACAGCAGGCTGATCTGGAATTGGGAGAAATTTAAAGCTAAGTCAGGTTAGGAGTTTTTGTCATTATCTCAGACTGGGCATTCTGGTTACGTAGTGCGACTGTGTGTGAATTAAAGTAACCACAATCGTGTCTAATATCTTAGCACGAGCAAAGCCATAGACCTGCAGGAGTTTTCACCCAGGAAGTTTTCAAGGGAAGATTTTACCCCTCCCCATCCCCCCATTTAAAAGGACAGCGTGAGACAAAATAAAGTTGTATGTGGCTTACTTGACAAGCTGTGCCTCTTCCTCCTACTGCCAACTGGTCACACCAGTTTGGTGAGAACTGGGTCATCATCATGATCATTTGTAACCATCAGTTATGCAATGTGTGTACAATAAACAGAAATAACCTATTGTGTAAAGTCACTGAGGAGCACTTAGAATTCTTTCCTGCAGCACACAGTATTGACAGCTACCAGCATGAGGCTTGAGCTCAATGGCGTTAGCAGAATGACAATGCATTTCACTTGCAGAGGGGGTCGCATACATTACCTCATTCAATGAAATAATCTGCTGAGGCTGGGCATAAACTATCATTTCCATTTCATTACTGCCTCTGGGCTCATGTCCTCTAACCCCCGTCCTCCAGGATCTCCAAGGCAACCATTTGAAAATGCAAATCTTAGTGACATCATCAAGACGGCAAAAGAGATGATTCCCAGCTTTGCTCCTCCCATGAGTAACCAATTTAAGACTATTAAAAAGCAAAGACTGCCAACCTGGGACCGCTGGAGCTGGAGGAAGAGGAGGACAGACCTGTGGAGTTTGTGAAGGTATGAGAGGCCACAGCGAGAGGGTGCAGGACAACACCTATTGTTCTGAGGCCTGAGCACTTCTGAGCCACCATGTTGTTTCTGCACTATCTTGGTAGGAGGCGAGGAGTGTTTGCTGCACATGTATAGAAGCCAGAAAAAGCCACAGCAGCTCCCTTCGCATAAACCTGCTTGGAGTCTGCAGGGGAGAGGAGGGCTTTGGAGCACACCATACCAGCCCACAGGCCATGAAGACCACTGGCAGGATTCCCTTGAGCCTGTATAAGAGCAAGCCGTGGCCACTGGAGAAAGGAGCTGCTCAGAGGTCAGCAAGTTATCATGAGGAATGAATACCCAGCCTGCCTCATGGGAAATGGTTGCAGTGCAGGAGAAAGGCTGGCCTGCTAGGGGAACATTGGGCACAGCGAGGCTGGCTGGTCTCAGTGGAAATCAGTCAGAGTGATAGAGCTGCAGGGGGCACAATCTGTAGGAAAGACAGCCCCAGGAGCTGAGTCTGGAGGAAGACTCAGCTGTCTGGAATTTCCACACAGCCCAGACCTGAAAGTGATTAACGATCTGATCTACAAAAAAAGCCTTCTCCAGAAAATCAGCAGCAAAGCAGCAAAGCTCAAAGCACAAAGCTCAAGGTCTGGTCCCCACAGGAAGTTCTCCCCACTCGGGAACTAACCACACCTAGACTCTACACATTAGTTCCTGTGCAGAGTCTAAGTGGTGGGAGTAGCTACTAACCCACCACAGACCAGAGACGAAGCTCTGATAACCACCTATACAACCTAGAAAAGGTAGCAGTCCCCTCAAACTCCCAGACATCAATGTATAGAAAAATATGTCACACCAAAGGAAACAAACAAAGCATAAGCAATGGAGAGGAGCAGCAGATCTCTGAAATATCTGACAGAGAATTCAGAATAACCCTCCTAAAGATGTTCATGGAGTCACAAGAAGACACACGTAGAAAATTAAATGATATCTGGAAAAAAATTCAGGAGCAGAATGAGAAACTTGACAAAGGAGTAGAGTCAATTAGAAAAAAAAATAGAAATTCTAGAAATAAAGAATACATTATCTGAATTGAAAAACTCTATGGAAAACTCCAACAGCAGACCTGATCAGAGGAAAAAATCAGTGAGCTCAAAGATAAAACACACAAAATTGTCCAATCAGAGGAGAAAAAAGAATAAGAAAAGATAAAACAAATATAGCAAATATGGGATTCCCTCAAGTGAAATAACTTACATATAACTGGCATACCCAAAGAGGAAGAAAAAGAAAGAAATCTAGAAAGCATATTCAAGGAAATAATGACTGAAAATTTCCCAAGTATGGGGAAAGACAACAGCATCCAGATACAGGAAGCTCAGAGGGTGCTAATCAAATTCAATCCAAAGAGGAATACCCCAAGACACATCATAATCAAATTATTAAAAACTAAGACAAAGAGAGAATATTGAAAGCCACAATAGAGAAGAAACACAACATTCAACAGAGCCCCAATATGTCTCTCAGTGGATCTCTCAGTAGAAACCCTATAGGCCAGAAGAGAAAGGGATGATATATTCAGAGTACTGAAGGAAAAAGAAACAAAGGCTAAGGGGATTCATCAACACTAGACCTGCCTTACAAGAAATGCTAAAGGGAGCTCTCCAACCTGAAGAAAAACTACACTAAAGAGTAGCAAGGAAACATGTGATGGTACATAACTCATTAGTAAATACACAGATAACCTTAGAAACTCTAATGTTGTAAGAGTGGTGAATAAACCACTTATATCTTTAGCATAAAGACTAAAGGATAAACCTAATAAGACAATAACACATACAACAACCATGTAAGAGACATGCAATATTAAAAGATGTACCTTGGAACAACAAAAAGTCGAGGCGGGGGGGTTGATGCTAAAGCATAGAGTTGGCTTTGTTTTTTTCTTTTTTCTTAGATATCAAAGTTAAGTTGTGATTAGTCTAAAATAATTTGTTAAAACTATAACATATTTTTTGTAAGCCTCATGGTAAACATAATACAAAGACTTATAGGAGATATACTAAAAAGAAATAGTGAGAAATCAAGTAAAGCTAGAGAAAACCACTCAACCACAAAGGAAGACAGTAAGAGTGGAAAAAAGTAAAAAGGATCTACAAAATAACCAGAAAAAATATTGGCAAAATGGCAGTAATGAGTCCCTATATATCAATAATAACCCTAAATGTAAAGGGATTAAATGTCCCAATTAAAAGACAAAGAGTGGCTGAATGGATTATAAAACAAGAACCAGCAATATGCTGCCTACAAGAAACTCACTTAACTGCTAAAGAAACATATCAGCTGAAATTGAAGGGTTGGAAAAAGATATTTCATACAAATGGAAACTCGAAAAAGAGTAGGAGTAGTTATAATTACATCAAATAAAATAGACTCCAAGCCAAGGACAGTAAAAAAAGATAAGAAGGTCAT